AATTTGCATAATTCCTAAATCACATATCACTACCCTTTTTGTTGGAACCGTTTCATGCCCACTACTCAACTTGGATCCCAAATTAACCTGGCCCTATTGCCCATTCTCGACCCAATAACTCTTGTCAGCCCAATAACAACTTGTATGACATTAGTATCTACATTGGGTTGGACTTGGTTCATAACAAAATCCACCCTGAAGTGGCAAATCCACTACTCAATTTGGTTCTTATTTCTCTTGACCTGAGTCACAACAATTTCTATGGAAATTTGCTATGCTTGGTTTTAACAACTTCAATGGGGAGGTTCCTTCATGGTTCGGGGTCTTTCACCAACTTCAAGTTCTGAATCTACGGAATAATAGTTTCAGTGGTTCCATTCCCTCTTTATTTTCTAATATTTCGACACTTCAAACTTTACATTTGGCATGCAATTCCTTAAGAGGGGCAGATCCCAGAAGAGATTGGAAATCTGCAATTGAAGATTGGGTTCCAACAAATTGCATACCAGCAAGCTTTGTATGTATATTTAAAGTTGGACACCCTTGACAAAAGTTATGCCTTTGGCGCAGTGGTAATTGGTGTCCATTTGAATGAAGGAGTTTCGGGTTTGAACCCCAAATAGCACAACATTTTTTTGTTTTATTTTGACAGCCATTAAATTTTCTTCCTCCGCCACTGTAATCGTATCGTGTTGGGCTTAATAAACAAAGGTTGCTTTTTGTTCCTCACAATGTACAGTCTAGCAACACTAGTAGAGTTACGCTATGCACTAAATCATCTACATGGAGTTCATTCTTTTGAAGTTCACAGCGTCAGAAAAAAGAATTTTCAATTTCCCACCATTTAACAAGTTAAACAAATAGATCTCAACCATAATTACAGTACAAAATCATTCACACAACAAGAAGACTCATTCAGGCAATTTAAAAATATTTGAAGAATTTAATCAAATTTTAAGATTAAAAAAAGTATTTAAAGATAAATTTTTGAAATGCGATTCAAACTGCATAAAATAAGTAGTTAAAAAGGTAGTTTGATCAAGGTAAGACATGGAGTATTGGCAGTTGATCGATCAAAAAGTCTAAATAGGAAAAAAAAATTCGCTCTTATGCCATAAATCACAGAGGAGAGATAATCTACACTATGCAAGCGTGCAACAAGCTCGACCTAAAAGACAAATTTCTTTCTTTCGATGATAAGGATTTAAATTTCTAACATGAAAATTTCAAGTTCAAATCATTAGGTCACCATCCCAAAGGATAAATTTGAATTTTTATCATATTTAAAATTCACCAATCATAATTACACGATAATAATATTAATTTTCTAGTCACTTTATATGAAAACATTGTCAACATCACCAACAAATATTGTTACGAAATAATAAATTCTTTTTAAATTTCTTAATTAGAAATTTCAAATTCAATTCATTAAAATAAAATTACCTTTAATAAAAAATATTTGTTTTCAAAATTAATTTTCCCTTGTGCAATTAAATTAGGTATCAAACACCAAATAAAAATAAAATGTAGGCAATTTATCCTAACAAAAATATTATTATTAATTCCACAACTCGAATATTTAACATATAAATTAGAAGAAGAAAAAACATGGCTAGCATCCACATGTTTAATACATTTCAATTAAGGAATATAAAAATCATTTAAAATAACATGGAATCTGAGCTGGCATCCACGTGTCAAGTATCCACATAAACCACAAATTGTAAACTTATATTCCTCTTACCCTTTGGTTTCTTATAAAAGCCATTATAATTGTGGATGTTCTTTCTTTTGCCTTTTCAAAATTCTATTTTGCTATCCACAAGCAACAAAAAAGTTTTAAAAATCCATGTCATAATTTTATGTGGATAAAAAAACATCTTTTTACAATGCTACCCATGCCACCTCACTTCCCTTTATACGGTCTCTCAAATCGAATAATCTCATTTTAAAGATAAAGTATTTACTATCAAAAACGATTTTATATTCAAGATTTGAGTATGATATCCCCACTTAATAATGAAAGAGTACTTATCAGTTTGCTACAACTTTTGGTGATTATCGAGTAAACAACAATGTCACCTCACTTCCCTTTTTTTAGTTTCCCATTTGATTTTCGATAGGCAATTTAGGGCATAACTAATTTGAATTCACATTCGAAAATTTCACTTCGGGAATAAAACACTATGTAATAGATGGAACGACATACCTAGAGTTTGAATCTGATACTTCTAATTAAATATGAAAAAATATTTATCACTCTATCACAATATTTTTATGATTATCAAGTGAACAACAATGCCACATCATTTCCCGCCAGATCTTTTAAGTAAAGCGGGAAAGTGAACTACTTTGTAATTGTTGTTGTCGGGTTGTCATGAAAGTTTTTCAAAGTTTGAATATTTTTGTTATTTTTTTTATATTTTTTTTCAAAGTTTGAATTTAAAAATGTAAAGTAGCTAAGGAGTATTATTTTATTTTATTTTAAAAAAAATAGTCTTATATTTTAAAGTTAGAAAATTTGAGCACTTGCTTATATATCTTCTTTTATAACTAATAAATAGGTAGTGTTCGTTCGTAAAAAATGGCCATATAACTTTTTTAAAATGATTTTTGAATTACAAATTAAATTCAAAATTCAACAATTAAACATTTCAAATTTTGGATTGGATCTTGAATTTGGAACTTATATCTATATACGTAAATCCAAAATTTTCAACTTTATATTTATTGCTATAGATTAAACATAAATTCATTTACATGATACTAAATTCATTAGCTAACTATATATATAGATAAACTTTTTCTCGATAATGGTCATTACTTGAATGAACATTTTATCTGGATGATTGTGGGGGAATGAGAAATTACTAAGGCAATTTGACGTAAATATTTCAGAAGAAGGACAAATTCATGAATTTATAGGCTCATATCGAAAAATTCAAAATAATCAAATCGATTAGTTCAAAGCCGCGAAAACTTAAGATAACCGACATAGTTATTATGATTGGATTTGGATTTTTAATTTAATAATTTGAGCTTGAGAAAAAACGTGATTGCACGTAAATGTTTGAAGTAATGCTCGTGTAGTTGTATTCCATGACAAAATTAAATTTAATAATTCCTATAAATTATATAAACAATACTATTATATTGTTGACATTTTGATTTATCAAGAGGCATGAATGTGTTCCCTCTCGATGTTTTTAAAATACTATATAATACTAGTATATAAAAGAAGCTAAGAATTTAAACTATATATTGTGATAATGATTTGTTAATTATTTTCAAATTCTGAATTCGCTTCTAAGTATAGTATTATATGTAATTATCTTTTAAATGATATAATTGTAATTTTACGCATTATCAATGTAGGGAATTTAACTTTGTAAAATAATAATGCTATGGGACATGCAAAAATCACACTCCATGATATGTCCACCAAACACCTAATTAATTAATGTCATGTTTTTTTTAGTAATTTATTAGTCAGTGAAATGAATTCAGACTGTCTAAACAAGTCAATGATACAGTAACAGCATGAATCATACTATCATAGCATGAATTAGCATCTATGTATGCATACAATAGAAAATAATTAGTTATTATATTAGATAAGTATGTAATGAGTACACCTTAAACCAAATAATTATATTCGTATTTGTTACAGAAAACTATACTCGGTATATATTAATTAATTATAAAACAAGTAATCCATTATTTATGACCTTCAAATAACAAAATTATTTCTAACTTTGAGTTTTCATATTCAAATCTTATGCATAAAATTGTCGTTTATGTTAGAAAGCATTTGATTCTCAAATATGAAACTTTGTGGGGTGAACTTAAATTTCATCTAAGTTATATCAAATCTAAAAACTGAAAAACTATATTTGCCCTGGTTCATGTTGACGTGCTAATATCATAATCTTAGTCAATAATTGTCTTTTACTTTATAACTCTCTTTGTTCCATTTTATTTGTCGTCATTTGAATAGTAGAGGGTTGAATTAACCATGTGTTGCTGTGAATTCGACTATGAAATTTCTAATTTTTTTGAAATAAAATTTATGTATAATTAAGTAAAGATAGGTAAAACAAGATTAGTCGTTACTTCAATGGTGTGGCCTAATAGTGAAGAGGATTATTAGGTTCCGGATTAAAATTTTAAAGATAAATAATAATATGTGATTTTTTCCCTCATTTGTAAGGCTAGTATAGAGTTAGTTACCTGGTACCTAATATTGCTAGAAGGTGATAGGAATTTCATGAAATTAATTAAGGTGCGCGTAAATTAATTCGAACACCACAATTATTATTATTTAAAAAAGAAAAAACAAGAGTAGGCATGGCATGTGACATACTCACTTATGCACACCTTTTGCTAGAGTTAAGACCTTGAAATATAAAAATAATTAATCAAAATGTCAAATATAATATATTTCTTTCCATAGTCAACTAATTCTTTAAAAAAAAAAAAACATAGTCAAATAATTAGCAAAAAAATAAATAATACTCCATATAAATAGGTGTGTATTTACAAAGAAGGAAAATGAACAAAAAAAATACTCAAAACCAAAAAACGCCATTTTTACTCTTTAGAGAGAGCGAAGTAGACGGATTTTTCAAGGTCGTTAATGGTGGAATTGAGGTGTTTCACTGAAGAAATTTTCTCATTTTCTGAAAAGGGGTTCTCAAATTGTTTGCTTTGAACCTGAATCCTTCTTCAATTTCTTCATTTTTATCCTTTCTTTTTCGTCTTTGGTGCTGAAGGAAATTTTAACAGTTACTGGTGGAATTGAGCTGTTTCAGTGAAGAAATTGTTTGTTTGAAACTGAGCCCACCTCCATTTTCTTCCTTTGATCTTGTTTTTTGACTCTGGTGTTGAAGGAAGTTGAAGGGAATTCAATTCCAGTGAAGAAATTTCTCATTTCTGGAAAAGGGGGATTTGAAGTTGAAATTTGCTTCAATTTATCCTCTTTTTGGGTCTTTGGTGAAAAATGAAATTCAACACAGATGATATGGAGTGGCCTACTTTTTTAGATGAATATGAAAAGCTTGTTTTTCGAATGACTATTCCCAGGTTAGCCCCTTCACTGTTCCTCCAAATTCTGCGGGGGGGCGTTTGATCATGAAAATTGTGAATATTTGAAAAAAGAAGAAGTAGTTTTTGGTTTCAAAGTGAAAAAGGATATTTGAAATTCGGAGTTGTGTTTGACCATGAGTTGCTTTTGAATTTCTGTGGGTCATTTGGAGTAAAAAAGAAACAAAAACAATCTTTTTGGTGTTTTTCAAATTCTTGAAGCTGATCTCTGGATTTTTATGGTCAAACGTGTTTCTCGGAGTTCAACTCGTAAAAGAAATGAAAAAATTTCATGGCAAAACGCATCCTTTATGTTTCATAACTTGAATTTGATAATTTTCCATTTTTTGTTTGAAGTACTGTTTTTTTCTGATTAGTCTTTGTGAATTCTACTACAGGGTCATGATCGATAACACTAGTTGTTCAAACGCCACCCTTGTTAAGGTAATTTGCCTTTGCTGGAATCCTTGGATCTTTTTTTATTCAGTCAATAATTACCATCATTGTTCAACTAGTCGAGGACGAGTTTATCTGAGTAATGGTCACTCAATTAATAGTTATTATATGAGAAAGTCACTTCCTTTGTTGAAGAAAGGTGATTTTTTGAGATAGTAACTAACTATAAGTTGAGTGACCATATGAGAAATCGTAGTCTATTTTACCACTAATTGTCAAGCTAACACACCCTTGTTTTCATTCGGATTAAGAATACAAGTTACATAGGAGGAGAATTTATGTAAAATGATAGTTAAATCCATCTTAAGTAGTACTAATCTTTCCGAATTTGATGTCGTGATCATGTACAGATTGATAGTGCGAGGAAACATGGGATTCTTCTTGAAGCAGTTCAAGTTCTCACGGATTTGAACCTTTCAATCAAGAAAGCTTATGTCTCATGTGATGGTCGGTGGTTTATGGATGGTGAGCTGAGCTCAATTCATTCAACGTTTTGGCTTAAGAGAATTTTCAGTGAAATTTTTATTGATTCTTTGCTGTTTGAATTCATTTTGATCTGCAGTTTTTCATGTTACTGACTTGGATGGAAACAAGTTAACGGACAAAAGATTCATCAGCTACATCGAACAGGTATATAGCTATCATTTTAACAGTTATTCCATTACATACTACGTTACATGGATCCTTTATTTGCCTTGATATCAAATTCTCGTGACATGGACGGGTAGGGCTACTTAATGGAGATTTTTCAAAATATACTAAAATTACCATATTTGTTTAACATATAATATGAAAGATACTTGATGAGTCTTTATGCTAAATTTTAACTTTTTTGGTAATGTTAAACAGTCACTAGGGACAATTCATTATGCAAGTTCAAAGAGCTATAATGGCTTGACTGCTCTGGAATTAACTGGGACGGATCGAATTGGCCTTTTATCGGAAGTCTTTGCTGTACTGTCAGATTTACACTGCAATGTAGTTGAAGCTAAAATGTGGACTCACAATGGTCGTATTGCCTCCCTGATATATATAAAGGAAAGCCAGTCAGGGTACCCAATTGAGGACTCACAGAAGATTGACAGAATTGAAGCCCGTTTAAAGAGTGTTCTCAAGGGGGATAATGATGTTCGGAGTGCTAAAACATCAGTGTCATTGGCTGTCACACATACAGAAAGAAGACTTCACCAAATGATGTTTGCCGACCGCGATTATGAAAGAAAGCCAGTGATTAGGACTAGCAACGATACCCCAATTGTATCGGTGTTGAACTGCTTGGAGAAGGGTTATTCCGTGGTAAATATTCAGTGCAAAGACCGAACTAAGCTTCTATTTGATGTCGTTTGCACGTTAACAGACATGCAGTATGTTGTGTTCCATGCCACAATTAATTCAGCTGGGGACAGGGCATACTTGGTATATATTCATTTACCTACTTATCTCGTTTTTTTATTTCTCTAAGGCATAATACATAAGACACGCTCAAACCTGGCCTCGACTGATAAGTAAGTACTCCAACTTTGAGTATGCACATCTAGACACATCAACTCGATGTGTCAGTCGAACACTCAAACTTACAAAATGATCATCTAGACTCCTCCAAAAATTTTGTCCCATGTCTGCATAGGGTGGTCATGAGACACAGTGGGGACATGTTGGGAGTGTTTAGTTGTCAGTTGAGACCTAGTTGAGGTGTCTAGATAGCATACTCAAAGTTGGAGTGCTTCCCGTTGAACCCAAGTTTGAGTGTCTGTTTATGTATTATTCCTTTATTTAATAATATTCAGATAATGTGCATTTGCTCATGTTTTTCTAAATCTTGTCTCCAGGAATTCTTCATTAGGCATACAGATGGAATCCCAATTAGTTCAGATGCTGAAAAGCAACGTGTGATTCTATGTCTACAATCTGCTATTGAAAGAAGAGCATCCGAGGTATTCGTCTGCTTCTCTCTTTTACTATGTGAAAAGAAACGTTTTAACTATATCTTTCGTAAAGAGTGTTTAGAATATGCTTCCAACATAGTACTCCAATTCTTGATCACAGGGAGTGAGGCTGGAACTATCCACAGGAGACAAACAAGGCTTATTGGCCGATGTAACTAGAACATTCCGGGAAAATGGCCTAAACGTGACGAGGGCTGAGATATCAACCACAGGGGATTCAGCTCTAAATATATTTTACATAACAGATGTGAGGGGGAATCCAGTCGATTCAAATATCATTGAGTCTGTTAGGGGGGAAATCGGATGGAGTAACTTGAAAGTGAAGGAATTGCCATTGATCAATCATCAAACGGTTGATAGAGACGGGTCCGTGTTGTTGTCACTTGGTAACATATTCAGAAGGAATCTTTACAGCTTGGGGTTGATCAAGTCGTTTTCTTGATGCAAGAAAAATGAATCTTCTCATACCAACTTACCAAAAAGAAGAATACGAGAAGTTCATATTCCTCCGAATTCAGACTCTGGAAGCCTCAAAGGACACCTAAGTTCAAGTGGCATGTACATAGCTTAAGGATTACTATAAAGTGATTCGTTGTTCAAGAAAAATGCATAGCTGTTGGAGAATCCGATACATGCCCTAGTGATGTTTCTGAAGAGTCCGAGCAACATAGGGTGGATGGTATTGGGGGCCACTTAGCCCACCATATTCAATAGTTAGGTACAGTGAAACATGTAGTAGGAGACAACGCCTCAATTTCAAGCAAGTTAAGGTCGGCTACATGAATTTCCATTGTCCATGACACTCAATTTAAGCATGCAAGGGATGGGTATACAACGAGGACGCTTTAATCTTCAAGCAACTCGAGATCAGCTACATGAATTTTTACTGTCTATGTCACTCCCTTTTAAGTAGACGGTGAAGGGCTATACAATAAAAATGCCTTATCTCAAACAATTTGGGTTCGGCTTACATGAATCTTCACTGTCTATGTCGTTCCATTTATAAGCCGGCAGGGAAGCAGGCAAAAGAGTCCACAAAGTTGTTTGTTTCAGACACACTGTATATCTGTAAATATTCACTGTTTTTAAATGCTAAATCTAATGTTTGACTTCCTTTTTTTATGCTTATAATTGTCTGTCTGGATGTTAATTGTTATCCATATGGTTTTTCATCTTCTTTTATGGAGTAGATAATATTATACTAAAAGATTTATGCAAATTGACCAATAAAGATTTTTTTAAAAGATAATTCTTTAATAATTTGCAAATAATTGGCTTAAATATTTTTTTTAAGTGTAGGTGGATGTTGCTTCTTACTAATTGCAAAGAATTTTTTAGATCCTTCAATTTGGCATCTTACAACTTCATGCCTATAAGTAACCATTTTTTTTAAATAATTGACATTATTACAATAAGGGAAGAGTTTGAGTGTGACATATGGATTTAATCGAATTTAAATTTTGTATTTATTTAATATGTATAAGTTATCAGTACTTGAAGAAATTTAAAACTCAAATTCATTGATTTCAAATTCTGATTCGATGGCTGACTATGTATATTATTATAATAATAATAATAATTTTCTTGGCTGATGTATGTATAGGTTGTAATGGATTTTTTTTATTTTTTATTTTTTTAACTAAAAGGAGGTTGTAATGGATAGAAGGGTATCTTCTATAAATAATGTTCCAAAAGGGTGCTTTTGTCTCTTCTTTAATTTGTTTTGTTTAATTGTTCCAAATTAGTGGCTTTCATATGATTTCTTACACGTCAAATGTTATTCTTTAAACACTAAAAAAGCATTCCATCCTTTTCTAGACAATAGTAAATCACCTTTTGAGTTTTGTTTAAGAAGATAATTATGATAAATCTTATCATTATAAAGGCATATTCAAATATTCAATAGTAAAAAGAAATTAATTGACATGTTTGTAATTGAACTTTTTCCAAACAAAGAAAATAATCTTGGCATTACAATTCACTCAAATGGGACCTAAATTAGTTTCACCTGTTTCGGTCGCGTTTTTCGTCTGACTCTAGGTCTCAACCTATGAGATGTGGGTCGTGACACACTAGTTGTTTCATCTTGAATGTGTCTAACTAGCTTTTCGCCTTTAGTTTTTCAATCTATTTTCTTTTTAATTTTATATTTTTTTATTACGAGAAATCTTTATTTTTACGCGTAAAGAGTTAATTCTTTCTACCATATCACAAACTTGAATTTTATGATGATGCATTTTCAAACTCAATTTGTTTTGGCTTCTGTTATAAGAGCTTATTGGGCCTAGTTTCATCCAATTGGCCCTCATCCATTATTGGCCCATCTAGCCTGTTATGAAACAACATGATCTACTCAGAATAACTCATTAGAGATCTCGAGTTTAAATTTAGGAAATAAAGAAGCCTAGTAAAGTGGATTCTCCTCTCTAATGGATTTTACATGGTGTGAATTTTAATTAGTCAGGCCAGTAGATACCGTGTACTAAATGGTTATACAAATATAAAAACTAATGTGAAAGTTCCAAATGCATAATTTTTTCTTCTTATTTTTATTTATTTGTGCTTTATATGGTCATGTCTAGTGGCAGGGCAACATGTGCACTATTGAAATACTTAATATGGTAGGGAAGATGTTCTTATGAATGCTCTTTTTTTGTAACAGTAGTACAATCACTTTACAGTCTTGTCTTTATAAAATAATTATTGTTATGAAGTTTCAACGTCTTTAGAGTTCCATCCAGAAATTTTCTAACTTCATAACAATTACTATTTCTTAATTATATGACTAAAAAGTGATTTGTTTAGTGGATTTCACCCCTTGTTTCAATATTACTATATAGTTCTTATATTTCTTCAAATCATAAATTATACTTCACCAGGCTTCATTTGGGTCAATCCATCACCAAATGGTTGGGCCTAACTTTGTTGGATCAATAACATGCATGTTTTAACCAAATTTCTTCGTGCAAGAAGTAGTGAATTGTAACTAACAATATCGTTTGTCTTAATAATTTTTGATTGCTATAGAAAAATATTACTATAGAGAACATATAATATAACATAACATCGAAAATCAATTCTTTTAAAACTAGATTGATAAAGTGAAATGGTGTTATAGAAGATGGTTGTTATAGAGAAATGTGATAGTATCTCACTATTTCTTTTATGATAATAATGTTGTGTATGCCTTCACTAATCCATCGAGTATTTGTTTCCTCACAACTATTAAAATATGTATAAGGTAACTGTTCTACCATGACTAAGACATATGAAAAGAAACATATAACAATTTCCCTTTAGACTTGAATTTGAATTCTGATTTTCTATGATTTATTCTTACTCTATTGACGGTTAAAGTATTATGCCTCTTTTTCTTTCTTCCTAGTCCTTTTTTTAAAAACAAATAATAATAAAACAAATTTGGGTTTTTAGGTGTTCAAACTTAGAAAAGGTCTCTCTTTTTATTTACAAATCCGACTAATTCAGACTCACGCTTATTTGAATAATTCAGGTTGTGTTCTCATATGGAAGGGGAAAGACACTCTATGTCACCATTTTTTCACAGACTCAAATTCGATACCCACGATTAAGTATGAAAATATTTTATTCAGTCGCACAACAATTTTTAGTTATAAAAAAAGAAAAAATTCACACAGAATGTTGCACTAGACCAATTAATATAACAATTATTTTTGCTTATAAATTTTTGTCATTTGATCAATGATTAAACAATATGTATTATCACTTCGATTGTGACTCAAGGTTAAATTACCTGAACATAAATAAGTACTCTCTCCATTCACTTTCATTTGCTAATTATATTAAAAATACATTTTTATTTGTTATTTTAAGTATATAAAAAAAAACATATTTTTCAATGCTTTGCCTTCAATGTTTAATTACAATTCACAAAATTATTCCTTAAGATTTAAGTCAATTATATATTATGATAAAAATACTTATCTTTAATATTTTTTAAAATACAAACAAAGTCCAAAATGAATAAATATAAATAAACAAAAGGGGTAGATTATATTTTAGCTAAACACTAATTAAGCACCATTGATGGCCCACAAAAGAACCTAATTGGTGGCCAATTCTTGTAAGCTTTCAAAAACCCATTTAATGCACACAACTAATATTGTTTTTCTTTTTATACTTCATTTCACTTTAAGAAGAAGAAGAAGAAGAAGAAGAAGAAACTCAAACCAAAATAAGTAAATAAAATAAAAAAAAGTAAATAACAAAATGCCCACAAGTCAGCTTTTTATTGATTGTACAAAGATTATAATGATAAATTATTGAAATTTCATGTCCAAATTAAAGGAATCTCATAACAATATATTAACTTTGTAAATGTAATTAATCTCTCTAAAGACATTATTTGTTTAAATATTTTGATAGCTACATCAAAATACTATATAGATATAATATAATATAATTATATATATGATTGGGTACAATATAATTTTAAAAATTATGGTGGAAACATAAGGATGCTAAATTGCCAAGTGGTAATCAAAATAATAATTGAATATCTAAAAATAACATATAATATAATATAATTATATATATGATTGGGTACAATATAATTTTAAAAATTATGGTTGAAACATAAGGATGCTAAATTGCCAAGTGGTAATCAAAATAATAATTGAATATCTAAATTATTATTTCTCTTGAAAATTAAAGTTAGATGTCATCAAAGCTTTATAATTTTTATATCATTATAAATTATTTTTTAATCCCTTCCACTTGCACCCATGATGTTGGAATTTGCAAAAACTTTAGTCATGATCAATTACCCAAAAATTTAAAATATTATATTATATATATATATATATATATATATAACCACTCATCACCATAGACATAATATTAATTAGGGAAAATTGTATATAATAGCAAACTATTAATTCAAATTAAATGCTATATGTGAAAGTTGCTCTATTAATTATTTAATCTTTTTTGAATTAGAATTGTTATTATCGGAAGGTGCTTTACATTATTATTAGGGATTATAATATTTTAGTCACTCTGATAAATTTTATGATAAATGACTTAATATATTTAATTTTTAAAATTAATTAACAGATGTGCTTTTAATTTCATTTCATAAAGTATGTTAACCACAAATATAGAATAGTGGTACAAATTAATATATATATATATATATATTTGTAAGTGAAAGAATCAAATTAAAATATATATTTTAAATAATTAAAAATTAAATTACTTAGATATCACATGGACGAGAATTAAAATTTATCAACAAATAAGGGACCCAAAATACTACTTAATTTACCTGTAAATATACTAAAATGATTTTTTTTTTCACTAAAAGGGGGAAGAAAATGGAGAATTAGCTTACATAATACTCTCTGTGTTTCAAATCATATGTAGTAATTTCTGAAAATATAGTTATTTTAAGATAAAAAGTTATTTTTCTTTATTTTTTTAGTGCAATTGCTTTTGAAGACTATAAATGTTTCAACAGAAAAAAAAAGTTCAATATTTCTCTTAAAGAACCTGTAAAAAAAGTATATGACAATTGACACATAATTTGAGACGGCAAGGAATATTAATCCTCTAATCACTGCATATTTTTTTAATCATTTTCGAAAAGAATTGTTATTATCGAAAGGCTATTTACATTATTATATAATTTCAAAAACGTTAATTATTT